TCAAAACTGTCAACAACACTAGTCACCTGCTTACTTCCCTTTCACCACTGTCATCACCATCCCCTCTGCCACCAATGTCAAACCCGTTAACTGGAACCCCATCTTTACCCTGCAATGTCCTGAAACCACGTAGTCATGGCAGTGAAAGAGTACAAGCTTTGGAGTTGAATGACTCTAGATGAGTTCCCTGGTTCTCTTTTCACTGCTTGGGTTACCCTGCACCAAACACTTCTGCTGTTTCTATACCTGTTTCTTCATTTGCTTTTAGGAAGTAAGACTAATACACAGAGAGCGTCTACAAAGCGCAGTAACCTAGGCAGAGTAGCACTCAATAATGACAACTAGCATTGCCCCAGATGCTTGAAGGTAGCACTTGAAACAAAATAGACAGGGTGCCAGCCATTTGGAGGTTACACAACACTGCTTTACCACCGCACTGACTTCCCCCAGAAACTCTACCTGGGATTTCAATTCCTGATCTACCTTATTAGGTATGTGAGCTAATACAGAGCACTTTATCTAAAACCTCCATTTCTTCATTTCTAACATTATAAAGCTATCTGCTCTATCTACTTGACATGGCTGGGGTAAAAATAAAATATGTGAAAGTGCTTTGTAAATCATTACATGCTAAATAAATAGATGTTATTAAACAAAGAATAGCATATTCCTCTTCTCTATGGCAAAACCAACGTGCCAAGAAAGGATTACAGATGTGCTCACACGTCGACCCTGTCTCCTCAGCCTTCAGGGAGCCAGGGAGAGCCTGGCTTCAGTGTGCCTACAAACAGAATTACTTTCTATGTGTATCATCAAGCAAAAAAGGAAAATGGAAACCTTGCTCTAAGTCACTCTCATGCTAACAGAAACTGCAGCTAGTCCAGAGATCCCCTCCTCTGGATGATTTAGGCCTCACCTCCAACTCAATCCTGCTCCAGAGACATGCACTCACACTTCCCCAAAGGAGAAAAAACCTGAACTGGAGGCTGCTAGTCCAATGCTAGCAGTGAGACCATGGCAAAGATATTGCTGTATTTTCACAAACAACTGAGCCATTTCCAGCAACACCTGCCTATAATCATCTCAGAAGCAATGGAAGAGAAGGGAATAAGAGGGGGAGGGAAGAAGAATAAGAAAGGAATAAAGGAGAAAGGAAATATATGCGTTTATCTTGTATAGAATGGCTAAAAATTTCCAAGAGCTATTCAATGCCTAAAAGTTAAGACTAAAGATAAGATTATTTCTCTTTTTTAAAAATAGCTTTTCCCATACATCCGGCAACGAATACTGGAATGACTTTTAGACTGTCATAGTCTATAAGTTCACCATCTTTCATACTACTCATTTTCCAGTATATACATATATTGCTAGTTTTTTATCCACAGCCATATTATCTTAAATTCCCTGTTGAATTACTCCTTCTCATCCTAATTTATTCCTTACTCCATCACAAATTTATCATTTTGAAATGTATTTATACTGTCAGACTCTTACAAGGCCAAGTTCATTTCTTAAAACCTTTATTTTCACATTTCCACTCCCCATGTCATAATACAAACATATACACTCCACATACAGATTTTTATCAATCTCCATGAGAAAATTCTATCAACATTATATAAACCTCCTCCAAATTCATTTATTTTTATGATTCTTTTTGGCATGACATTCAACCAGGTGTTCAGCTGCTTAAAGATTAAGAGAAACCCTTCCCTAACATTTGCTAGAAAATGGTGCAATAACCCTAACTCTTCCAAAAAAGACACAACGTAAATTTGGTGGAAGCAGACTGTGTACTAGTAGTAGAGATCACAATCTGGAGTCAGACCATCCATGCGTGCAATTTTGGCTCCAGCAGTGTAATTGTGAGTCCATTACTTTATATTGTAAAGTGTATCGGTGAATCATTAAGTTTCAGTTTCTTCATCTAATAAATGGGAAATTTAGCCACGTTTATAAATTGCTGTTAGGATTAGATGAAATAATCATCTCAGTATAATGCCCAGCACACAGCAAGCAAACAAATATTGTTACAATATAATCTACCTTCTGACTGTCATTTACTCAGAAGGAAAGTAATTTAGCATCATCTGCTCTTTCTTTATAAAAGTTATGCTTCCTTAGAAATGTTATGTTTTCTGCTTCCCCATGTGAGGATGATGCCAGACAGAGGGAAAGTATTTTATTTTGTGAGGAGAAGAACTAGTTACTCTCTAGACTCTAGTAAGATGTATAGGTCTCTCTCTTGGAGTTCTCACATTCTACCAAACTAGGGTTAAACTTAGAACTTCAACCTTCAACCAACAAACACTTCAGAACCAAACCAGTAAGTTCAACCATGCTTCCTAAACTTGGAAGGATAGTAACTTATTCATGAGAGAGAACCATCACTAAAATGCCTCATATATACTGGAGAGTAAGGAGAGGTCAAGATAAAGTGCATCGTACCAAAGTTTATGGGACACAACTGAAACATCCTAGAAAAGTCTACAGGAGATGATGCCTCAAGTGAAAAGCAAGAAAATGAAAGTAAAACACTAATGGAACTTAACTATTTTATCCTGCATTGTACTCAGCAGGCTAGTGATCTTTAATATGTATCAAGACACATCAATAGCAGAAATGTCAATTTATAAATCCACTGGATATTCACAGCGTTGGCCACAATCAGCTATCACTAAAAAGAAACCTCAAAACCACAAATCAGGAACTAAATAAGTAGACTCAGGAACTAAGTAAGTAGGCAGTTTTACTTCCTTCTCTAGTTCTAGAAAGAAATTTAGAAACCATGAAGTTTTGTAGTAGTTAAAAGATTTCAGTGTAATGCCAAAATCTCTGCATTTTACTCTCCTTGGTTCAAAACCATTTATATTTTGAAAGAATAAGGTTCCATAAAAAAAGTTTCATTAACTTCAACAAGACTCGTCCTAAGGAGTGGTTTTTAATGTATCTGAGGTTTTATATTTCCTTTGACAATTTGATTAAATGAATGGACATGGGGAGGGGGGGAAATGCATGCAAACAAAACTTTGCCTATAATTTCATAGGTGGGGATGAGGCTGAAAGTCACTGACCCCTAGTCCACGGGCCCCAACCCCGCAGGATTAAGGCAAACCATGACTCAAGGAAAGATAATTTATCAATTTGAAAAGGAACCAAAGTTCCAAGGCAGAGATTTTAATCCAAAAAATAAGATTAGAAATACTGTCCACTTTCTCAGATAATGAGTGTTAGATGTGATCAGGTGAAGGTGACAGTGATGTTGAACAAGAAAAAAAAAAAAAAAACACAAGACAAGCGGAAAAAAGTGGAATTAAAAACAGGACCAACAGATGGCCTACTTGCAGTCACTTACAGATGCAGGTTTTCCCTACTATACAGCAGAAAGTTCCTATTTGGTATGATTTGGGTCTGGGAATACTATGATCATTAAGTGACATTACCAAACTTTTTGAGCGTTGTGAGATCCAAAAAATAACCTACCAAATTATACCAAATAGGAAGTGGGAAACCTGTGACAGCAATGAAACTAATCCCGCAAGCTTAACACAGGGCTGACTTAACATAACCAATTCTGGTGCACATTTCTACGCCAGTAAGTTAATTAAATGGCAAACGTGAACACGGCCTTGCAGGTGAAGGCACAGGTTTCTGAAAAGCCCTACCAATCTCCCATTCTCCCTTACCAAACAAGAACGGAGTGAGAGATACACCCTTCATCCAGGAGAAAAGGAAGGGAGTGAGAAAAATCTTAATAGGAGGGGGTGAAAGATCTGCAAGTGTATACGACAAACTGAGAGATCAAAGGGCTCCAGAGGGAGATAAGAACAAAACAAAGGAAGTAATAATAAAATAAAAGGAAAAAGCTTCTAGACACTGTTCTTAAACACACCCACACACCCCACAAAACTTTCCCCCGGACACGTACACAGTAGTCACTTGGCAAGGGAACGAGCGAAAAGACAACAAGCACGACCTACTTCCCAAACTCCAGCATTCCTGGGACGGTCTCTAAGCACAGGCGGGCTTGGGACGTCTCGGCAAGGCTCCTCCCTGCACCGCGGCCCGGACAACCTCTCCCGGGCTCCCTCCTCTCTCGGCGGGGGCCAGGAAGTGGGGCTGCAGGGCGAGGGGCAGAGAGCTCAAGGCTGGACCCCAAACCCGAAGGTGGCCCCCTCCGAGCCTTAAGACCTGGCTCGTGCCACCCTCTGCCCACCCACGGGGCGCCGAGCTGGAAGAGGGTGCGCCCTGGAAGCACCCTCTGCCCCGGCTGTCGCGGGGTGCACTCAGGGCACCAGGAGGGACGAAGGGGCAGAAACCAAAGGCCAAGCCCTCGGGCAGACAGAGCGCGGACTGCGGGAAGACGCGCACCAAGAGTCCCGCACAGGCACCCCCAGGCGACGTGCCCTCCCCCGGCCCCCCGCACCCCGCCCGGCTTCCCCGCCTCCTCCCGCCGGCCAGTTCCGCCCTCACCTGTCCGCGGGCGACCCGGCAGCGCTCGCGTCCAGGAGTCGCCTCAAGCCTGGCAGGAAACGAGCGGAAGCGCGCCCCGGGCCTGCTTCCCTCCCCTCCCCCCGCGCGCCCCGGATCCTCGGGGGCGGGGCGCACCGCGGCTGCCACCGCCGCCCACTGACCAACCGCCGAGGACACTCCGGCCGGCGGCCTCCGCACCCGCCCTGCGGCCCCAGTGCCCGGAGCCGCGGAGCCGGAAGTGAGGCGACCGGAAGCGGCCCCGGACGGCCCCTCTCTCCTGCGCGCGGCCGGCCCCGCCACGTCTCGGTGGTGCGCGCCCCTCCCTCCCCCAGGCGCCTCCGCCCCGACGCGGGCGGCTGCCCCGCCCCCCGCGCTGCGGCCCTAGCAACCACATCCGGGGCCCCGCTGGCGCCGTTGCCCCGGTAATTCTCTGGCCGCCGCGGGATCGCAGAGCGTGTGCGCGCGGGGCCGAGGCACCTGCCCGCGCGGGGAGCTGGCGCACGGGCGCGCCGGGCTGGGCTTGCGGGGCCGGGCGTCTCCAGAAGCCCTCAGCCCCCGCCGTCCTCACACGCCCCCCGGCCTCGCGCGTGAGGCGCCCCCGCCACACGGTGAGCCGGCGGGAGGGGCGCGGACGTAGCTCACCGCCGCGAGCGCCCTGGAGAGCGCGGGCTCCGCGCCGCCGCCGCCGAGCGCGCAGCGGTTACCCCGGGCCCGAGGGCGGGCGCGCGAGGGCGCGCGGGGTCGCGGAGGCCGGCGGGCTGCGAGGGGCTCCTCCTGCTGCCCCAGCGCCGGGGCCCCCTCCGGCCGCATCCCTCACGCCCCCCCCCAGGACCCCCAGGCCCTCCGCGCCCCTCATCTCCGCGCTCCTGTCACTCGCCGCCTTTGTGTCCACTTTCTCATCTCGCCCGCGGGCGGGGAGTCCCCACACTGGTCTCTCCTGCAACTCTCTCTCTCTCCTCGTGACCGACTTCTGCTCTCTCCCTTTCCCCGTCGCTTCTTAAGCAGCTCGCCCTCCTGTCTGCAGGCTCCGGTCAGCGATTCCTTCTCTTAGAGCCCTTTGTGGTTTCCTAAGTTGAGGCCCCTGTCCGGACTGAGACACCCTGTTTGTCTGTCCCTGTCCCCAGCACTGGTTGGAGGGGGCGTGTGAGTCCACGGTGGTGCCATCCTTTACCTGAACTCACGTGCAGTGCCTGGAGTGGACCCACCACACACATTTTCCCTCACACTTCGGGGCTGCTTTTCTTTTGACAACTCTCCATGCTCACTTGTACCACCATTTCACTTGTAGACGGTGAAGGGTGACAAGTGCCCTCGATGAGATTTACCCTTTTCTCCTTTACTTGTCACGTTAAGGGACAAGACATTTTTAATGACTAAATGCTTCCATGCAGGACTCTGCACTGCTGGGGAACTTCAACGTAGTGAAAGCATATGACTTGCTGTTGCCATGACTATTAAGTGACACCACAAATCTTTCTAAAGTAGATAAAGATATTTGTTGTGTGAGATCTCCAGGACACCGCCTCTGACAACAGTGTTGCCATCCGAAAACATGTATCTGTGTATCAAAGGCTCTTGTTTTAAATGGCTCTCTCCTTAATCAAAAAAGAGCAGATGTATGTTCCAACTCTCTCCAACTGTAAGTTAAGTTCTGTAGCCTACTATGAATTTCTTGTTCAGAGACACCCTGTTTGTCTTCACATGGAAGAAAAAGATGCCAATCTAGGATAATTGCTGCTCTTATTGTATAAGTATGGAGTGGAAATTAGTAGCTATATCCAAGTGTTCCTCTTAGAATTTCGGAAGAGTGACTAGGAGGGGGTTCACAGCAGTGCTCAGTGATGCTTGAACAACATGTACTTAACCTTTTGAGCTGGCTGCTGCCTTAAAGATTCTTGCAAGTTGTGTCTTGCATTTGGACACACTTAGTTTCACTATCAGACTGCTAGGCTCAGAGGTGTTTCTTATATTAGAAAGGTGGGTGTTTCTTGTATTAGAAAGGGTGCTTGTTATTTATCCTTCACTGGATTATTGCCTTGGTAGCTGCTGGTGGTTTTGATAGTGATTCTGGTGGACTTAGAACTAATGTCAAGTTCTACTGGGTGAAAGTGCATTTGATCAAGTTAGGTAGTACTAAGTGTGATGCTGGTCCTGTGCATAATTAGTCCCATACACAGTGTTTTGCTGTATAAGACTGTCCACAGTATTAATCTGCTGCCCCTTGGGGAAGTTAGAATGCAGATTGGCTTGCAGACAATCCTGGAAGCTACTTCAATTGGTGATGGGAATGGTGAAATTCTGTGGGCTTTCTTTGGGAAAAAGAAATAGTAGCCAGTATTCTTTGGACTTGTGGGAAATTTTTACATACTAAGAAAAATCGTATTTTAAATCTATCTCTGCTTAGATGGGGCCTATCTTTCCATCTAGCTATCACCTATCTATCTCTTTGCCCATGAGGTTGAAGAATTCTGCCTCCCCAGAATTCTGTTCTGCTTAGCAAGAATAGAGTACTACTTTTCTCTCAATTGCTATGTTTGAAGAGGTCAGAAAGAAAAAAAGGGAATAACCACCATATATATTTATGACATAGGGATTATCTGCTCATTCACCTTTGCACTGCTATTGCTTTTACTGATATAAATATATATTTTTTAACAAGGCAGGTACTATTTATTTGCAAATGTAAGAGCTTACTAATCAGTTGGCTTTGAGTTTATCAAAGACGAAATAATATGGGTGGATCTAAACTGATCACATGAGACTTTTAAGAGCAGAGTATTTTCTGCAGCTAGTGGTAGCAGAGTAAGAGAAAAATGGGAGGCTTGAGAGAAATCCTGCACAAGAAAGGTGCTGTCTTGCTGAAATGAAGATGGCCACAGGCCTCTAAGAACTGAGAGAATTCTCTGCTGACAGCCAGCAAAAACCCTAGGGACCTCATTCTTACAGCTGTCGGGGCTGCAAATAAAGTGAATGAGCTTGAAAGCAGACTCTGGCCTGGAGCCCCCAGAGGAGAGCCCCAACTAACTGACATCTGATTTCTGCCCTGTGAGACCCTAAACAGAGGACCCTGTAGAGGCCACCTGGGCTTTCAACCTACAAGCCTATTAGATGATAAATGAGTGTCGTTTTAAGAAACTAAATGTGTGGTAACTGTTATATAGATATAGAAAAATATATATTTGTGTACTAGGTATTTTTTTACATCTGCAATTATTCATGTGGGATAGTATCCTAGATATGAACTTGCTGGATAAAAGCTATGCACATATTTAAGCCTTTTGTATCAGTGCTGATTTGCCCTCCATAAGCTTTGTACCAATTTATATGCCTCCTAACAACCCCTGTTAGCACATCCTGGCAAACACTAGATACTGCCTTTCTGATTGGCAAAAACAAAAGAAGCTATCTCCTTTTTTCAAAGATTTACATTTTATTAACAGTAGAAAGGTTTTCTCTGGAGTTCCATTGGTAAGTCTCTTTTTGGTGAATTTTACCCATTCTTACTCTTCAGTTAGCTTTACTATTGACATAAAGAAAGTATTGTGTGCTACATCAGCATTTTTCTGCTGTAATATTTTCAAGGGATAATGAGCTTACTTGACAGAACGAGTACTTTTGCCATTACTCCCTGCAAGAAAAATAATAATAATAATAGTCCCAGATGTTATACTATGGTGGAAAAGTTGTTAGCTTCATTGATCAGGCAGTATTAGTGCCTTATTCTTTTTTAGGGAAAAAGCTAGTCTGGTTGTTTTAAACAATGTGGTTGTCTTAAGAATAAAGATAGAGTATATCTTACCTTGGAAAATTGTAACTTGACTGCTAGTTTAGAAGGAAACATACTGTAAACTCAGAAAAAATTATTATCTTCTTATGCATGTCACTATTTTTTTTAAGATTTATTTATTTATGCATACAAGAGCTGGGGTACAGGCCAGAGATGCGGGGGGGTGGGGTGGTGGGAAAGGATTCACCAGAGACAGAGTGGGGAACAGAACAGGCAGATTGACCGAAATACACTGCTGAGGGGAGCAGCAGGTGAGTCAGGAGGGTCTGCTGCACCATGTGGGTAGCTCCCTGGCCGGCCTGGGATCGAACTTGTGCTGAAGAGGTTGCAGATTGCTTCATAGTGTGGTGCTTAACCCCTAGTGCCACCAGGGAGGCCCTGCATGTGACTATTTTCAATTTGATCAAATAATCAATAATATCTGATTATGTATAATAGTCATTTATTTGGGATGCGGTAAGGGAGGAAATTCAGTTTACTTTTTCTGTAATCTTTGTTACTTGAGATGCTAGAGTTTATTTCTGACAAGAAGGATGGAAGGAAGAAAGGGAAGGAGGGAAGGAGAAGTCAGGAGATTTTAACTTTGAATTTGGAGAGTACTTTTGCTTGGTTTTGCTTTTCTTTAAAAATTTGGTTTTTGCTACCTCAGTTTCTGGAGGTATGCAAGAAATGCAAGAAATTTTTGAATTTTTATTTTGAAATATTTTGTAGATTACAGGAAATGGGAGAAGAAATTGCAAGAAGGTCTCCTATAGGGGCAAGATTTTTTTTAGGTGAATGGGCAAATATTACTTACTTCGAGAAGTCAGTTTTCCTGGTTTGGTTGCTGTTTGTGTTCACAGAATTCATTGTGGCCTATTGGTCTATGGTGCCCTGATGTTGCTTTTGTGGCAGGGAGAGGTTGTGTTTGAATAGGCATTGGAAATGCTGACTTGGCTTGGGGCTAGGGGCACAAAATGTGTAACTAATATCAGAGGAGGCCACCCAGTTTCAAGAACCCTGGCATATGATGAAGAGAACAGTAAACTTGACATTAGAAAGCTTGGATTTCGGACTGCACTCAGCCATGTGCTAATTGTGTCCACATAAATCCTGTTCTGCCTTCCTCCTGAGTCATCTGAAATACAGAAAGTAAAGCAGGTTGGAAACAAAAGCCCTGGACTAACAATGATTGGGCTATTAAGACCTTTTTTTTTTTTTTTTTTTTTAAGGTTTTGCAATAACAACAATAAAAAGCTCTTTTATGATTGTAGTTCCTATGATAAAAAATTACTTCTTTGATTTGGACAGTCAAGGAAGAGGAGTTTTGACAAAAAGTTTTGTCAAAAAAATTGTGCAAAAATCACGTACCATCTTGAAACCTGGGGGATCAGAAAAGAATGAGAGGGTGGAGCACCCATGCTATTTCCATTTTAGCAACATCTGCTTAGCTTCTTACCTTGCCCTGGGGAAGACCCAAGATTCTGGTAGGGGGGATGCTAGCTGGGAAGGCAGCAGGGAGCCCATTTGGGGACCTGTGACTGTTCTCACAGTGTATATTTAAGGTGAGACTCTTGCTTATGTTTGCAAGTAGGATTCTGTAAACTCTGAATTTTATAGGTTGACACAGTCAAAGGGACATTAGTATAGATAATGATGATGAGATTTTCAAATATTATTGAAGACTGTGTAAAGTGCTAAATACTATGCTAAGTCTTTGTACTCTCATTGAATCTCATCAACTATGCAGTAACTATGGGGGGGTGGAGTAGTCACCCCTATTTTACAAATAAGGAATTCAGATGGTTAAGTAAACTACCCAGGAGCACATAAGTACTAAATGGCAGTCACTTTCTCAATTTAGGTCTGTTTGGCACCAAAGTCCATATCCTTACACTATGATCAAACTTTCATTCTACAGATAAGGTGGTAGAGGTCCTATGAGGTTAAGCCAAGACCCAGTCACTCTCCTTCTTCTCTTAGTCTAGGTCTTCTGCATTATATCCACCTCATTGTCTATTCCCATGCATTTTTGTCAACTATTCCTGGCCTCTCTGCACCGTGGCTAATGTGTCAAATTGAAAGGAAAGTTACTAGGTTTTTAAGCACTTGGGTAGAATAAGATTTAGATTTTTTAAATGTATAATGGAAAAATTTGATTTGCGTTTTAGTGAACCATCTTCTACCAGACTTCTAGGAGACACTGTCTCCCATGTGCTATTAAAAGTTGAACCTTGTGACTACTGTCTGAGTATGTTTTCTTTAGAGAAGTCAGAGCGGGCAGTCTGTGACTTCACGTAAAAAATAGCCACCAAGGATCTTGCCAGCATCATTTTTAGTGCTTTAATTTCAGTAAGTCTACATTTTCAAACCAGATTAAATGTGTCTGATTTATTTCAGAAGTATATATTCCAAGGCACGTGAGAATTCAAATGCACCAAGTAGAGCTAGAGTGCTTTTTTACAGAGGAGCACTTTAGGCGGTAAGCATTTCTCCTAGAAGCTTTGGTAATTGTATTCTCAGAAATATGTTCCTATTATTTTCATTATTATGAAAAGCATAACTAATTAGTATAAATGTTCTTTTTGATATTCAATTAAAATGCCATTGCTAACATTGATGGTTTTGGGTTTTTTAATATTTTCAAGAGACAAGAAGATATACTGTCAAGTTCTAGAAGGATTTTCTACCATTTTCTTCTCCACCCTGAAGATACTTGGAAATTAATGGATAACGTTTTGCCTGAAAATTACTGAATGCTTTTTCTCCTTATCTCTGAGGCCTTCTGTGGAGAATTAATAAGAGGTCGAATGCGCACATGGATAAAATGGATCACCTTAAAGGATTGAAGTTCCAAAAATATATCAGCAGGACTGGACAGGCTTGACATAATGAGATTTCTATTTTAGCTTGACTTCTGGAACTCTGAATAAACTATAAACTGAGCTACATTAGGTTCTGGGAAGGCAGTTTCTCTTCTAAAATATTCTCGCTGCATCTAACCTTTTTCTTACTCAAATCCTTTGAAAAAAATATATTTAGTCATCAATTTCCTGAGAAATAAGGTGATTAGACTCTTTCAGTATATGAAGTAGACTAGAAAACAGCAATTTGTGCCATACTGGAAAAGTAAATTAAAAGAAACAGATACAAGGAATCTGAGAAAACCGCTGCAGAAATACTAACTGAGATGGCAGAAGCTTCTGTGGATGCCTCGTCTCTGCCTGCAACAGTGAAGAAGAAGAAAAGCCTATCCATTGAAGAAAAGATTGACATCATAAATGCAGTAGAAAGTGGCAAGAAAAAAGCAGAGATTGCAGCTGAATATGGAATAAAGAAAAATTCACTGTCTTCTATTATGAAGAATAAAGACAAAGTTCTAGAAGCCTTCGAATCTCTGAGATTTGATCCGAAGAGAAAAAGACTGAGAACTGCTTTTTACACAGATCTGGAAGAGGCTTTAATGAGGTGGTATCGAATTGCTCAGTGTCTAAATGTCCCAGTTAATGGTCCAATGTTGCGTCTAAAAGCTAATGATTTTGCCCAGAAACTGGGACATAATGATTTTAAGTGCAGTAACGGTTGGCTGGATCGCTTTAAATCCAGGTATGGTTTGGTGTTCAGAGCTCAGCCTGTGGAAGCTACAGGCGTATCGATAGACCCTTCAGCTGTCTGGCACCAAAATGTGCTTCCTTATTATTTAAATGATTATCATCCTAAAAATGTTTTTAATATAAAAGAGACTGGGCTATTTTATCGAATGTTACCTACAAATACATTTGCATTTAAAGGAGAAACGTGCTCAATTGGAAAATTGTGCAAAGATAGAATAACTTTGGTGGTTGGGACAAACATGGATGGCTCAGAGAAACTACCTTTGCTTGTCATTGGAAAAAACAGAAACCCACATTGTTTCAAAGGTATAAAATCATTGCCTGTGTATTATGAAGCTAATGGAATGGCTTGGATGACCTCAGCTGTATTTGAACAGTGGATGCGCCAGCTTGATGAGAAATTTCAAGCCCAGCAACGAAGAGTGGTGATTTTTGTTGACTCTTTTCCTGCTCATCCAGAAGTAAAGAACCTAAAATCCATCGAATTAGCATTTTTTCCATCATGTTTATCCTCCAAATTTATAGCTATGAAACAGGGTGTTATCAAAAACCTGAAAATCAAATATCGACGTTGTCTTATCAAGAAATTTTTAAGCTCTGTTGAAGGTAGCAGAGAATTTACATTTTCTCTACTGGATGCAATTGATACCTTGCATCTCTGTTGGAGGGCTGTAACCACAGAGACCATTGTTAAGAGCTTTGAGGAGGCCGGATTCAAATTTCAGAAGGGAGAAAGCGATGAGACAAATGCAGAGCTGGACACTGGTTTTGATTTGGTTGCCCATGCCCAGGCAGCCGGAGTGGAGTTTCCTGAAGGTTTATCTGTGGAAGAGTATGCTGCCCTGGATGACGATCTGGAGACTTGCGAAGGGTCACCAAGCAGTGACGCAGTGTGGAACAGAGAAAGTCAGTCAGATGAAACTGGATTTTATGCTTCTGATGAAGAGGATGATGGTGGATCTCTGGGAACTGAGCCCCCTTCACCTTCAAAAACTGAGGCAATAACTGCTTTAGAGACTCTTAAAAATTTTCTTAGAAGTCAAGATATGAATGATGGGCTACATAATTCTTTAGCAGACCTTGAGATTTTTATTAACTCTTTGTCATCTAAATAACTATTTATTGTACAATATCTGAAGAGTCATAGCTTTTCCTGATGCTTTTTTACCATAAAAGGTATGTAAAAGGAAAATACCACTTAAACATAAAAATGAAAAGCTAATCTGTTTAATCTCAAATGTCTGGTCTGAATAACAAAGTTTCCTAGGTAGATTAAATACAGATTATGTAAATGAAATATATGAGTTTCAGTTTACCAAGGTTTTGGGGAGTAGAAAATGTACTTCAGAGACCTTGTACTTGAAACATATGTTAAATATGTCAAAAATAAAAAGGATTTCCCCCTCTCTGATTCATCCAGGTTGAATTGGTGATTCCTATTTTCTTTTTAAGTTAGGACATGTTCTAGAATATTTTGTCTACCTCATCTAAGTTTCAAAATATCAATTGCTTGGATATTTATTTTTATAAAGACCATTATATTCAAACTGCTAAGTAACAAGCATTAATTTTAAATTAGTTTTTTTCATAACCAGATAATCTTCCTTATAAAAAAATTATGAAAAACTACTGAACATAAAGTCGGGCCCAATTAAACACCAAAGTGATTAAAATATGTTTCACTACTTTCAAGTTATTTCTAGGTAAGATTTAGTGAAAGACTATGACATCATCAGGTGTTTTTTGTTATCTGTTACCAGAAGATGATGCAGATTCTTCCTAAATATTTGTATATCTATGTGTGTGTTTAATAGAAAAATACATTGAACCATTTATTAAGCTCTTGTGATATTTATATTTTAATACAGTAACTCTTTAAAAAGTAAATACAAAAAAAATTTATGTAGTTATTAAAAAGAAAATAAAGTGGTTCTTAGTTTTCTAATTTCCACAGCTAAAGCTTTTAATCTATAATATTGATTTTCTTGATTTTACTGAATTTTATTTTCAGGATAATCTTGAGTGTCCTTTCAATATATTTTGATGTATTTAATCTTTTTTGTTTTTTTCAAATTCAGTGAGCGACATTTGGGGTTAAATTTCTGTTGGTTTGCAGAAGATTTTAAAATATTGTTTGAAATTATTTACTTTCCACCCATAAAATAGACTTTCTACAGAAGAAAAATATAACAATGTGTCAGACCTTTCTGCTGTTAAATTTTATGTACTGTGCTTATTTAACATTACAGCTAATTTGGGGTTCTCTTTGAAAAGTATTTTTAAAAAACATAAAACATGCAGATTATTTTTGTTATGAATTACTAGTCTGCCAACAAATGACATATTTGGAAAGAAATATAGAATTTTCTACTGCTGATTTAATCTGCTTTTGAGATTTAGTAATAGTAAACTTTGAAGTATATTAAAATTCAGAATGTTTCTTTTAGTGTGAAATATGTTATTTAAATTTAATTAAAAGCATTTGATTAGTCATTTGATTAAAAATCTTAGTGTGGTACAATCTTAGCGTGGTGACAGCTTTTATAAACCTGACCTGCAGCTAATGAACCTGGCATCTATTGAGCCCTCAATAAGTTTTTTTTCTTTTGTTGTCTACTTTATTCCAGCTAGATATCAACTGTTTTATTAAATTATTCCAGATATTCTATAAGAATTATTCCATAAGACTTTTTATCTCCATTTTTATAAATGAGAAAACTAAAACCTAGAAAGATCATTTAGCTAAAATCTTAGCCCCAAATTAAAATGCAGTAGTTCCTTGCCAACCTCACCCCCCACACACACAGTCCTCTCACCTTATCCCAATGCTGCTTTCCTATATTCTATAAAAGAAGTTCTAATGTTTCCCTTAAGTGTAGGGGCCTGAGTGCAGAGTGTTTCAGAGAACATGCTGGCTCGAACGCTGATAGCTCTATTCCCAAAATCTCTCCTCAGGACCCTGTTACCTCTGATTTGGTAATTCAGTGCCACCAGGACACTGAAGTCCCAGTGGAGTTCTAATGAAAATATTTCCAAAGTGCTGACATTACCTACTCTCTTTTCACCACCTTTACTTCTGGAAATAAATCCAAAGATAACAGAATAATACAAGGCTACTATAAATAATAAAAGATGCCTGCTGATTGCGAGTTCAGGATAAATCTTAGCTTGTTGATGTGCACTGTTCTGTGTCCATCACAAGGTAGGGAGATTTAAATAATTTTAAGAACAGAAACATTTTAAGTTCACTTTTCCTAGGACAATCACTACATACCTCTTTCCTATTTATCTTCTCTGTAAGCAGTATCGACTTGGAGTAAATGTCATCTGTCTTTTCAAAAGAGGACTTGAGGGGCCCACCTGGTGGCCTAGGGGTTAAGGCACAGTGCTACCACCATGAAGGCTGAGTTTGATCCCCAGCCCGGGAGGTGACTTACAAGGTGCAGCAGACCTCTCCTGTCTCACCCACTGCTCCCCTCAGCAGTGTATTTCAGTAGATCTGCCTGTTCTGTTCCCCACTCTGTCTCTGGTGAATCCTCTCACCCCCTCCCCCACACCTCTGCCCTATACTCTAGTTCTTCTATGCAAAAATAAATAAAAATAATTTAAAAAAAGAGGCCTTGACTTGGAATACACCTGTTTTTCAATTAAAAGTGGCATTATTTTCATTGTACCTGCCTTGTAGCTTCCAGCTGTTTTAGCAATGTTCTGCTTTCTACTTTATCAAGCAGCAAATCTAATTTGGGACTGTTTCACTCCCAGTGGCTACTGGACTACTAGTGAAAGGTTTGCTTCATCATAAAGTAGGACAGTGACTAAATCAAGGCCTGTAAGTTTCATGTTGCCTGCCTGGCTTTTCATTTGCATCTGAGATGAAAGTCAAACCTCCCTTTTACTGTATACAAAGCAGAATAATGGGGAAGGAGAGAAAAACAGGGGAAGCAGAGTGAGACTAGAGCTTCCCAAGCAAATCCCTCAGATATTAAGAAGAGTCCTTCCCAATCATTGGCCCAGTAGGGGCTCAGGAGAGTAGAGGAGGGTGGTCTCCCTCTTACAAGAGCGTCTCCACACCCCTGACCACAGGCTCAGAGTCCAGTGCTGGGCTGGATCTCTACACGAGCTACTTGAGAAATAGCGTGGTCAGGACAGCCAAGAGGTTACACCAGTTGTGGGGAGGAGAGCCTACCACCGCAGGAGAGAGAGCCTAGTTTGGGAGTTATGATGTGTGCACGGTGAGTCTTCTGAGAAAATTCCACTGGAATAAATGAAATCCGTCATAGTTCTATGCTACCTGCAAAAGACTTTTTTTTTTCTCTGAATCTGTTTACCCCACATATAAAATGAAACCTTCATCTGAATTTATTTTAAGGACAAATGTATTTTGCATGTGAATGCATTTAGCAAACTCTAAAGTGTTCTACAACTGGGCGGAGTGACCAGAGAGGGGGCACCGTGTTGCTGTTTCCATGTGCCCAAGTACTGACATTGTTGTCAGTAGACATCGATGCCAATGTCCTCATTGGCATGCAGGAGGTCCATGTTTCTAGAAACAAACTATCTGTACGACTAAAATATTACTTCCATTTTGAATGAGGGATAAAGGGACTTAGAAAGTTCTTTTTTTTTTCTTTCTGAATTGATCCTCATACAAAGCAATTCAATACATAAATATCACTAAGTAGCCCTTCCTGTCACCACAGTAGCTGATTCAATTGCACAGCAAGTCCTCAATGTCTCCGATTCTTGGAATCTGCAATTTTAAATGAAATGATGTGTAATGAAAGCAGATCCTTGAATACATCGTTTCATTCAACATAGGCGGAGGCATTTTTTCTCCTCAACATTATAATGAAAAGACTTTGAAGGAAACTACTATCTCTTGGACTGTGATTCACTTGTAAAGCTGAGGGTAACCAAGTCTGGAGGAAGATAAAGTAACCACTAATGTGGAGATCGGCTGGGACTGCCATAACAAATGCCATTTGATGGGGTAGTTTAATTTACAATTTTTCCTCTTAGTCTGGAGGCTGCAAGTCTAAGATTAAGGTGGAGCGTAGTCAGTTTCTGGTGAGGTCTTTTGCTTTGGGTTGCAGACAGCCGCCTTCTTGATGTATGATCACGTAACCTCTTTGTGCCTTCACTTTGGGATGTGTGTGGGTGAGGGTGGGCGGGGTAACCCGGAATCTCTTGTTATAAGAACTCATTCTCACAACCTCATCTAATCCTAATTACCTCCACCCAAACAAATCTCCAAACACCATCCCACTGAGGGGTGCATGGGGAGGACAAGTCCATTTCCTCCAAGTTAATTCCAGTCAAATTCCCAATGTAAGCTTATTGAAAATTTGGCAAAATAATGCTGATTTTTATGTGGGAGAATGTGTCAATATCTAAGGAAATTTTGAAAAATAAAAATAAGGGAGTATTTGACCTGCCAGAAGTTTAAACAATGTAATGTGGGCAAGAGAATATGTCAATGAAGGGAATAACATGTCTAGAAAAAGATGAAGGTTTAGCATAAACTGAAGGAAAGGGAAGGAACAGGGATAGGAGGGAGGGGGAGAGGGGAGAAAAGAAGCTTGCAGATACTAGGAAAACAGGTTAAGTCTAAATAGTTTACTGATATTTTAATATAATAGGGGATATCTTTTGAAAAGTGACAAGAATAGCTTAGTATAAAAATGCAAATAAAATGTAAAAATATTTTCAACATCACTAGAAATCGAGGAAATGCAAGCAAAGCAGTGTGATACTGGTAGGCACTACCATATTAGGCAAAATTATAAAGGATAGCACCAAGCATAGGTAAGAGCATAGCAAAGATGCATTGTTATTGGAAATAGGGACTGCCCCACCCCATTGTTATAATAATAGCTGATTTGTATTAAGTGTTTACTAATTACCAGACTGTTCTAAGTGGTTTGCACGTGTTACCTCAATCCTTAGAATTACTCCAACGGTTATCATCCCCATTTTACTGCTGAGAAAATTTGAGTATAGCTACAGCTAACAAATGACAGAACTAGAATTCAAACCCAGAGAATCTGACTCAAAACTCTGTTGTGCATGATAAAAATTAACCCTAACAATACAGACATTAAGGACATTTGTTGCACTGTAGCCAAATTCACTGTCCCTTATCATATTTCAGAGTTGCTCAGAGTTGAAGAGTTAATATACACACAGCCTACAATCAAATGTTAGTAAGTTTGCAATAAAACATTCACATGGAGTCAGATATGTAGAGGCTATAAATAACTTAATAGCTTAATAATTCTTATAACCAAATAAATTCATGTTAAGTGAGCTTTTACCACCAAATGGATTACAAAAAAGCTTTCAGAGTGTTTCATGTTTCGGAATCCATATAAAAGATTGTGGGACTGTAACAGCTTAAAACAAAAGCAAAAATAAATCCTAAAAACTGCTAGAATGTTTTTAATAAAGAAGACATTAAATATACATGTTTATCTTGAATGAAGACAAGTAAAATTTAAATTCCTTTACTTGTGTGTTTGTGCAAATTTGCTTAAACTGAAGTAGATATTTTCTCAATTTGACTTGCAAATTCTGGAACTAAAATCTTCTCTTACTTGTTGAACATCTTATTGTCACTACAGGGCTAGAAAATTCTTTGCCAAGTAAAACAAGAACTAGAACATAGTATTGAGAAAAACTGGACCTGCTGGTTTCACATACTATAAATTGCACATTCATCTTCATGCATCAGGTCAATTTAAGCCCAAAGAAGTCAACTTTTTTTTTAATCAGAAAACTCAGCCAATGTGTTGGGGAGAAAAATCAAAAGACTTGGGGTGGCACTGTACTCCATTTTGGCTTATTTTAGTCACCAAACCTCAACAAGATCATGGTTCTTTTTTTTTTTTTTTTTTTTTTTTTTGGAATGAGAGTTGTTTTTTTAAAGATTTATTTATTTTTATACAAGATTTATTTATTTTTATACAGGCCAGAGACGCAGGAGGGTAAGAGGGTTCACCAGAGACAGAGCAGGGATTAGAACAGACAGACGACTGAAATACACTGCTGAGGGGAGCAGTGGGCGAGACAGGAGAGGTATGCCACACCATGTGGGAATCTCCCTGGCCGGTGGGAATCAAACCCACGCTGCAAAGGCTGCAGACAGCTTCACAGCGCTGCTCAACTCACTGTGCCACTGGGGAGGCTCCATCATGGTTCTTTTTTAAAGATGGGATTGTATCCCTTTATATCTCCCCAATGGGACCTATTAAATACAAGTAGATGTTAATATGCTTAGATATTTGTTCAATTGAAGAATTAAATGAAAAATTACTGACAGTCTTGTTTCCAGTATTAGGAAGAAAGAGCTGTCACTTGTTTTTGCTTTTGTTTTTCCCCTAACTTCCTCTTTGTAGGCCACTAAGCTCTTCCTGTTAATGCAATGGCATTGTCTGTGTTATCGAGCCTCCTTTTCCCTGTTGTGAAACAGGTAACTGAGCGTAAAGATTAGAGCCATTTTCATGTTACCACCTGCCTGGCTGAGTCTCTGCAACTCCTCTGAACAGTTCTGGAAGTTGCCCCCTACACTCTAGAGTAAATATCTAAGAGTTTTATACTGTTTATGTAATTAACATTGTTGTATTTTTTAAGTGTTTGTTTATTTATTTTTCCTTAGAAGAACTAGGTACAGGCCATCAGTGTGGGGGAGGAGGTGAGAGGACTCACCAGAGACAGAGTGGGGAGCAGAACAGGCAGATGGACTGAGATACACTGCTAAGGGGAGCAGTGAGGGAGACAGGAGAGGTCTGCTGTGCCATGTGGGACAGCAATATCACCGTCTGTGACGAACACCGGAGGCTGCAGTGGACCTTCATGGTGGTACTGGTGGTCACGCTGCTACTTAAACCTTCCACCACCAGGGAGGCCCCATCATTGTATTTTTAAAAAAATTAAAATAGATACCAAAATGTAAGGAAACCAAATAAAACAAATGACAAAAAAGACTGACAGCTATGTACTACTACCAAGTTAATTTCTTAGGATTATTATAAAGTCAGTCAATGATAAACTTGGAAAAAGACTCATGTATAAACTCACAAGAAAATAAGCATTCATTTGATATATTTTAGTTTTAAAATTTCAGTTAAAAAGTTTGGGAAAGTATATATAATACGAATACCTATCAATTTATATAATCAATTTTGTTTCATATTACCATAGATTACCTTTATTTTCTTAATTTATCCTAAGAGTTTGGGTTTTATTATTTTTTTTTAGTATCAGGATTTTATTTTAATTTTTTTAAAGATTTATTTATTTTATACAAGAACTGGGGTATAGGTAAGAAATGCAGGAAGGTGAGAGATTTCACCAGAGCCAAAGTGGGAAACAGAACAGGCAGACTGACTGAAATACACTGCTGAGGGGAGCAGTGGGCGAGGCAGGAGAGGTCTGCTGTGCCATGTGGGATTCTCCCTGGCCGACTGGGAGTTGAACCGGTGCTGCAGAGGCTGCAGACAGCTTCGCAGCACGGCACTCAACCGCTGCGCCACCCGGGAGGCCCTATCCTAAGAGCTTTGTAGTTTAGTTGCAAGTGTTTTCATAGTTTAGCATTTGGTAGTTTTTTGTAGTGTTTTGTAGTTTATATACTGCAAGTAGAATACTTTTCCTTTTTAATTTTCTGATTACTATGAGTATAGAAAAAAATGAATGATTTTTTACTATTTTATAGCAAGACACATCAAAGTTTCTTATTAATCCAAGCATATCTTCTAGTTAGGCCATTTCTAAATTATTATTTACCAATAGAGATAACTTACTCTCTTTGTTTCTTTTAGTTATTTTATCGCTATATTCGTTATATTATAATTAATATTAGTTATTTGACTTTTCTTGTCTCTAACTGAAGGTCATGTTATTCTGTGTTTTTTCCTACCAGCTTACAAGTTTTGTTTTCATATTTAGACTTATTTTGTGTGTGATATGAGGGCAAGGATCTAATTTTATATTTCCTAAGGGGAATTCACCACCATATAGTTTACTCTTTGGTAATAATTTTTCTGTATATGACAAGTTCTTGCACTTGTACCAAGAGGCAATGCTGGGGAAAGTTTAAATCCCACAATGTCCAAATATCGCCAAGAAGAAATTAAATTTGAAACCAAAATACAGTCATATTTAAATGGAAATATAATATCTGTTTACTTTTCTGCTACTGACTAGAAATGGGAGCTTGTGGGCAGGTGAAGCTTAATTTCTTTTTTAGAATTATATTTCTGCTCTGTGTTGTACGATTTAAGTCAACTACAAAGCTAATAAGAATAATTACTTAGCTTATGCTGCGGAATTTCAACTTTGAGTCTTTTTCTTCCAAATTTGATCATTGTCTGCCAGATTCAATTATTCTGTTAGAGAATCACACAAAATCTTAGGAAATCCAGATTCATCTTACCTAATTTAATTACTCAGGGGTTTTTCCAAATAGTACTGATTCAAGCCTAGTGACTAAAAGTTAGTCAACTATTATAGTAAATATAATAGTTCATTCCTGTCACACATTATGCCAGGTGTTGAGGATATAATGGTGAGAATGGGAAAATATATCCCTGCCCTCATGTCATGGGCAACCTAGTGAAAGAGGCAGACATTACTTAATAATGACACAAAGAAACATAAAATGCAACTTCACTAAATATGCTGAAGGAAAATCATCTGCTTCTATAAACTCATGTGCAGGAATTTACCTAGTCTTAAGGATCAGAAAGGACTCACCAAAGAAGGAGCAGGAGCTGGGGCCTGAGATATGAACAGGCACTATCTAAGCAAAGGAAGTGAAGAAAACTATTCTGGGCAAAGACTCTGGGAAGGAAGGAGCCTGAATCAGATAAGAAATTAAAGAAAGCATCTCGAGAAAGGACAAGTGTGATGAAGCAGATAGAGGCCAGGTCCTGCAACGACAGGCCTATAGTTAGGGCTGGGGAAACATTAGCTTTCTTATTTATAGAAAAGATGTAGGAAAAAATGAGAAGACTCTTCATCTTTTTTTCCCCAAAGTCTGAACCATAGCAAAACATAGTTATCCCCCACTTTTTGAAAGTTAGCATTGGCTTTCATGAAATACCTACATTAACGCCTATTTTTGCTAATTGAAAGAAATCCGAGAGAGGTTCTACTTTTGCAACAAAGGTGAAAAGTGAGATAATGTTCAATGTTGGTTTTGCAGCAGTGATTCTAGAGGCAGAGCACCTTGAGAGTGTCACACCTTGAGAGTGACACCCAGCTCCTGCAGAGCTTGAGGAAAGTGGAGTCAAAGTCCAAGATGACAAAACATCCCTTCCAGGTGTGGCAGGAAAGAGAGAAAAAGGCCCGGCACAGAGAGATCACTGGGTCCATGTGATAATGAAGAAAGTTATAGCCAAGGTCACTTGAGAGGAACGTTATTTGAAGGTCAAGGAACTGTGAGAACGGAGCTTGCTGTGCAGATTTGCCCACAGGGATGAGTCAGGGAATGGGCATGGTCTCTCCTCTCTGCATCCCCAGGGAAAACTTCTTTGACAGCAGCCAGAACTTGGCTTGGTGAGCACCTTACAGAAATGATTCCAGTCATGGCAGATTTGTGTCCTTTTGCACGTGAGCAAACAACGTTGAACTGCACAAGAAGAGCAGTTGGCCCTGAACACCTGGCAAGATTAGGAGGTAAGGAAGGAAAGTCTTCCCATTCCTGAACGTGGACCAGGACCTGAACTGACCTCTCTCCCCTTCCTGTCAACATACCAATTTGCTGAAACCTTTTCCTTTAAGTTAATAATAAAGTTACAACCTAGGGGCCTCCCTGGTGGCGCAAGGGGTTAAGACACAGCACTATGAAGCTATCCACAGCCGCTGCAGCATAAGTTCTATCCCAGGCCAGGGAGGTGATCCACATGGCACAGCAGAACTTTCCTGTCTCTCCTGCTGCTCCCCTCAGCAGTGTATTTCGGTCCATCTGCCTGTTTTGTTCCCCACTCTGTCTCCGGTGAATCCTTTCACCCGCCGCATCTCTGACCTGCACCCCAGCTCTTGTATGCATAAATAAATAAACCTTTAAAAAAAATTTTTTTTAGCTTCCGGCCTCCTTCTCGCCAGTGGCTGTGCCGGCCGCAAGGTCCTGAATGCCCTGTAACCAACCATGCCTCACAAAATTGAGGAAATCAAGGACTTTCTGCTCGCAGCCTGGCACAAGGATGCCAAGTCTGTGAAGATCAAGAAAAACAAGGATAATGTGAAGTTTAAAGTCCAATGCAGGGCCTCCTTGGTGGCGCAGTGGTTGAGCGCTGGGCTGTGAAGCTGCCCAAAGCCTCTGCAGCGCCGGTTCAATCCCCGGCTGCTCCCCGGCCACCAGAGGAGGGTCCCACATGGCGCGCAGACCTCTCCTGCCGCCCGCTGCTCCCCTCAGCAGTGTACTTCGGTTCTTCTGCCTGCTCTGTTCCCCGCTCTGGCTCTGGTGAATTCTCGCACCCTCCCGCGCTTCTGACTGTACCCAGTGCTTGTATAAATAAATAAATAAATAAATGAAATTTAAAAAAAAAAAAAATAGAAAAAAAAAAAATAAAGTCCAATGCAGCAGAAACCTGTACACCTTGGTCATCACAGACAAAGAGAAGGTAGAGAAGCTGAAGCAGTCCCTGCCCCCAGGTTTGGCAGTAAAGGAGTTGAAGTGAGCTGGGCCTGATGACTTGAACTGTATTAAAAATTTTTTAATTCTTAAGAAAATAATTTTTTTAGAAGTTACAACCTAGAATAAAAGTGTATATATGGAACAAATAGATATGGTTATAAGACATATGCTTTTACAACAACAATGAAATTCTTGACAGCCACATCTCTATAAATATGTATGACTGTAGTAGGTAAGAAGGAAGCAAAGGCTGGGCCTCTCAGCGGTTAGCGCTGGGTTGCGAAGCTGCCAGCAGCCTCTGCAGCGCCGGTTCGATCCCCGGCTGCTCCCCAGCCACCGGAGGAGGGTCCCACATGGCGCGCAGACCTCTCCTGCCGCCCGCTGCTCCCCTCAGCAGTGTACTTCGGTCCTTCTGCCTGCTCTGCTCCCCGCTCTGGCTCTGGTGAATTCTCTCACCCTCCCACGCTTCTGACTGTACCCAGTGCATGTATAAATGAATAAATAAATAAATAAAACATGCCTCTATTTAAAAAAAAAAAAAAAAAAAAAAAAAAAAAAGAAGGAAGCAAAGGCTGAATCGTAATCACCCCAATCCTCTGCTTTGAGATGCAGTTTTTCATGGGGCAGCTTGAATTATATGAGGCCAATGCTCTCAAATGGCCTCACAGGGAATTAACAACCTATTTGTAATAAAACATCTTCAAGGCTTTTGGAAAAGAAGTAAATAATCTCCCCAAAGCTATGTATTTTAACATGCAAGGATCAAAAGGAGGATTTAAAGATGCTTAAGAAAAATGACAAAAGGCGAAATGTCTAAGAAGGATCCTCTAATGATACCTCCCTTCCCTTACCCACTGCGGAAACACCGTGCTGTTCTGGGCGACAGAACGGGGCTCTGGGGGTGAGAAGGAAGGGTAAAAACCTGTTTCAGGACTCAGAAAGCGTAACAGATAAGGCTTGTCCTCTCATTTTTTATTTTCTGTATCATCCTTGGTATTTTAATCCTATTCTGCAGCCCCCAACAGCACAAGAGCCAGGAGCAATCTTCTCAGATCTTCTGTCCCCTCCAAAGTCTGTCACCGCTGTCACGACCACGGTCCCCAGCAGCAGTGGCACTGAGGACGCACTGGTGGGCAGGGGGCTTTCAAAGCCCGTTTCTCCCACCCCATTTCACTAACAAGAAGGCAGACTTCTTTATTTTGTCCACTGCCCCTGGTTGGAAGGTGGTCTTTTTGATTTTTATTTTCTGTAGGAACTTTCTGCACAAGCTCAGGCGACTGTTTTTTTGCTTTGGTGGCATGTGTAATAGACACTGCTGAGCGGCTTGAAAACAAAGCTTCTAGGAAAGGAAGCTCCTAATGAACTGTCCAGAGAGTGGTTCCACTGGAGGGGGGCGGAATCAGTTAAGCACTTCTAGTGGGTTTTGTGGGGCCTGAGGGAGATGATGCTAGTTTTTAATCAGGCAAACAAAAAAGCGAGCACTTTTTAATGACCTCGCAGCCCGACTCCTCTGAGGACTCCAGATGTTCAAAGTCCTCAATAGCAAGTCTAGAAATCCTGTCAGGTTCCTGAGCCCAGGGGAGGCTTGGACGACGTTAGCAGCTGAATAAATACTATCCGTGGGGGTTTGGTTTTTTTTTTTTTTTGGAGACTATTAAAGATAGTTGTTTTCTTTGTTTGCTTGTTTATTCTGAACTAAGTGAAAACTGCATTGGAGCTAGAGACACACTGGGAATAAGTGTAATCTGGAAGCTACTCCTTCTCCCAAACTTGGAGTAGGAGGGACGCCTCTGTTTTTAATTCTTTTTTAACAGCCCCCTTTGAGAAGTCAAATAAAAGCTTTGGATTTTCTCTGAAAAAAAGACATGTGTAAAAATTGCATAAAATTTCAAGACACTTGCTCTTAAGAAACCCTGCTTCCTCTTTCTACCATTTATAGAGTCTTCCTGATTAAAATCTATACAAAATGTGGGGGAAATAAAAAAAACCACCTCAACCTCTGAGGAGACTCAGCTAATATCCCATATGTATTCCTCTTTTTAACACTTCAACATTACCAAGAAATACTTAGATTTTAATAGAATTATTTTTCTAAACTTGTAATTGAATTAAGCAATTGGGTCCTTTGCACATTATATTTAACTTTCTTCTTTGAATGTTATTTTTAATAGCTCGCTTGTGTATTTTTACAAAGAATTGACTCTTCTTGCCAAATCCAATTAATAAATAGAACTGTTTGAAGCCTTGGGCTTTCTAGAAGCTGGACAGAGTCCGGAATGAGTCACAGACTGAATCTCCATAATCAGGACTGGCTCGTTGCTACACTAGCTGACTCTATCATGTAGTAAAGCATCAAAAACAGTGTTTAAAAACTGAACATGCCTGTCCTCAAGTTGACCTCTCAGGAATGAAGTGTTTTCTGTTTTGGGAGCAAAGAAAATAACTATGCAATCATGCCATCGTTATTACTCGAGCTATTTCAGAGCTGGGAGGAGTTCTGCCACCCAAGGCTAAAAAGTTACCCTGCCAGTGCATGGGACTTGGTAGTGATGGCAGAGAAGAGCAGTTAGACTGCCCTCCGCTTTGGATTTTGTCATCTTATTGGGAAGACAGTGAGCACATTGGATGATAAAACCCATTGCTGGCTAAGTTCGCAATGGTGTGACAGAAGAGAGGGGAAGGAGCTTGGGGTGAGCTGCTAGGTCAGGATGGCTTCACGCAGAGGGCCCCGGCCTGGACAGGTGGAGTGCAGAGTAATAAATCCAGGTGGGAGGAATTTCCCAATGTTTTTCAGTTGATATTGCCTGTATGGTAGCTAAGGAAGAGTGTACATTTACAATATTTCAAACAGTGTGTCAATTCACTTAGGTCTTATGCAGACGGTATATAAATACACAGAACTCCACCCTTGATTGCATAAAGCTCCAATGAAAAAAGGTCCTTCCATTCCAAATGTGCAGGTAATCTTCACAGAGAGAGCGTTCCCTTGAGTAAAGTAACAATTCATGTCATAGATAGGAGCAAAGAAAGGCTTCAGCTTATATTTCCGTAAGTTATCTGGGGTTGGGCGCGAGGCTCAGACAGGGAATACCAGAATCCAAAAGAGTGCTGAGGTCAAGAAGATTATTTTGGGACCTAGAAGTTTACTATATTGAGCATGCAAAGGAGTGGCTGGAAAGTGATCCACCTCGTGTTTCTGCTTGTCCCCTGCCCCAGCAACAGAAAAGTGATGTAGGGCTCAATTCTCTCAGCACGAAAGGGCTTAAAGAAAGTGCAATCATTTCTCCCCGAAAAGCTGACTATTTGTTTTACACTCTTGTAATTTAGTTTCACAGAACCATTAACATTAGCCAATTTAAAAATAAGAACAATAGTTATTTTAAGTAGTATGCTCAGGTTCAGTTTTCACGCCTCACCCCCGAATCCAAACCATTAAAATTTAAGACTCCGTTTAAACCAGGTTTGTGCTACTAAGAAGGGCGAAGATGAAGAACCACTGGTTTTCTTATTGTCTCACCAGCTTCTCTTTCTGCCCTCCTATTGCTCTTGGTAACAGTAACACTAGTCACCTACACTGAGTGCGCACAATGTACCTGGCACCATGCTGAGAACTTCATGTTCACAAGTTCATATAACGCCCTATTAACAATAGCCCCGTGGGGCAGATATTACCCTGACTTGGCAGGTGGGGAAAATAGTGAATGGTCACGCTGGGATCCAACCGCTTTAGAGGACGACTCTTAACTCCATCCCCAGCGTCTTAGCTCCCTCCTCCTGGAATTCCCTTCCACTCTGCTCTGCCACTCAAATTTAGTGACAATCCAGCTTAAGTCCTATGTCCTCTGAAATGCTTGTACTGCTGACCTTAAACTCAACTCAGAATTTGTAAAGCATTTATTTATCGAACTCAGAAGTGCACAACCTAACCACAGAGAAAGCATATTGAGTACTTACTACGTACGAGGACTCGTTCTAAGAATTCCGTGTGGATTTGCCAGTTTCAGTCTCGACAAAGCTATGAGGTCACTACCATTAATATTTCTACTTTGTAGATGTGCAAACTGAGACAGACAGAGGTTAAACAATTTTCCTAAGGGCACAGGAGTTAAAATGTGAGCACATAGACTAGTGTCTGGAGCACAGACTATGTAAGTGTTATCATTATTGCCATTAGTATTTCACTCTAGTGCTTCTCCAAAAGCATTCTTTTTGTCCACCCATTCATTCATCTTCCCCGGAAGAAAATAAAGCATCTTTGGTGAGCTAGATGCTGGGCTAGAAAGTTTCATACTCTCACTTCAATTCATTCATTCCACAAATATTTACAGAGCACTTACCAATGTTACTCTGTGTCAGACACTTCTAGCCCAGACTCAGCAGTGAAACTCAAGAAGGCCTTCTTCACAATGATCCTGTAAGAGGGTTTATTGGATCCATTATTACAAACGGTATTTATATTTAAACCCCAAATCTGCAACTGGCTGCGGTTGAAGGTTTGGGGTTTAAATGTAAATCTCTCAAATTTCACGTTTCCAGGTCTTTCTCGAAGAGGAGATAATGCTATTTACTCTTATCTGTGATCCACTGGGTAGGACCTACTTTCTCCCATAGGGCATAATACAATTGAAAATATGGAAGTGTTATTTCTCTTTCTCATGTTTGGGTTAAAATTGCCATTATTCCCAAAGAGTGTTTATAAAGTAAATGCATGATATGTACAGAATTAGATAATATATGCATGCTATATTTACAATATATGCATTCTATGTCACTGGTGAGCCTGGCACCGCACCCCCGGCCCCCGGAAAGCCTTCACTTTCTGGTTGGGGGGTGTAGGGTGTGGACCTTGAACTCTAATTGTCTTATCCTACAGTCTTTAAAGTGACCCCTACTAAATCCCCCAAACAACTTCACTGCTCCACAGGACACAAGAGAAACATTTTTAAAAAATATTTATTTATTGGGGCCTCCCTGGTGGCGCAGCGGTTGAGCGCTGGGTTGCGAAGCTGCCAGCGACCTCTGCGGCACCGGTTCGATCCCCGG